CACTTCCCTGGGCAGCCCATTCCAATGCCTGATTACCCTCTGTGTAAAGAATTTCTTCCTAATATCCAACCTAAACCTCCCCTGGCAGAGCTTAGGACCATGCCCTCTTGTCTTACTGATAGTTGCCTGGGAGAAGAAACCAATCCCCACCTGGCTACAACCTCCTGTCAAGTAGTTGTAGAGAGTGAGGAAGTCTCCCCTGAGCCTCCTCTTCTCCAGGCTAAACAACCCCAGCTCCCTCAGCCTCTCCTCACAGCACTTGTGCTCCAGTCCCTTCACCAGTCTTGTTGCTCTTCTCTGGACCTGCTCCAGCCCCTCCATGTCCTTCCTGAACTGAGGGGCCCAGAACTGGACACAGCACTCCAGGAGTGGCCTCACCAGCCCTGAGTCCAGGGGAAGAATCACTTCCCTGCTCCTGCTGCCACACTGTTCCTAATTCAGGCCAGGATGCCATTGGCCTTCTTGGCCACCTGGGCACACTCTGGCTCCTGTTCAGCTTCCTGTCAATCCCAACTCTCAGGTCCCTTCCTGCCTGGCTGCTCTCCAGCCACTCTGTCCCCAGCCTGTAGCGCTGGAGGGGGTTGTTGTGGCCAAAGTGCAGGACCTGGCACCTGGCCTTGTTGAACCTCATCCTGTTGGAATCAGCCCAACTCTCCAGCCTGTCCAGATCCCTCTGCAGAGCCCTCCTGCCTTCCAGCTGATTGACACTCCCCCCCATCTTGGTGTCATCTGCAGATTTGCTGATGGCTTTCTCTGTGGACACATTCTTCTCCCCTCAGGCTTGTTTACTTCCCCTTAGACCTGAGATATTTGGACAACAGTACTGTCTTTATCTTATCTCAAGTTCCCATCAGTTGGCTTAATTCACAGTCCAGTTCCTGTCAGGAAGCATATGCGGGGAGGGATGGGCTTCAGTGGTCGCAAATGAGCAGTTGCTTCTTTGCACATTTTGCTACAGTGAACAAAAATCTTTTGGTGATTTTAACAATGTTTAAGCCATTAACTGTAACATTTCAGTCTCTCACACCAGGTGGTAGCAACAATGGCCCTACCAGCAAGAAGCAGCTGCCAGGTATGACTCTCAAAATAAATCATGGCATCATGCTGTGGAATCAAAAGGCATCTTCTCTGCCCCCAGAACGATACGTGCCTGCAGAACACGCTCTGGACACAGCCTCCTGTTGATATCCTGGCAGTGAGCTTCCATTTCTTAGGCAGGTAAACTCCTACTGCCTTCCAGAAGGATTTGCTTGAGCAACTTCTGGGCAGACTGTACTTAGGATATCTAAATCTGTATGAAATGGCCAGGACAGGCTGTGTGTGCAGTAAGGTGCAGCTGGAAGATGGCAGCATGAAGTTATGGTGGAGCATGAAGTTATGGATACCTTCCACTAAAAATGCCATCTAAACAGCAAAGGGAACTGGTAAATTGATGTAGAAAATGTTTGTGGTTGCTTAGAAAGATTTGGTGTATCTTGTGCTGAAGTTTTTCACCAGCATTATGCCTTTCCCTACCCAGAGTCTGCAAAAAGGAACCACCCAAGTGCTGCAGGGCGAAATCTCCTGGTTTGGGTTAGGGTGGCAATCAGTAGGGGATGGCTTTTTTTAATCTTTTGGGGGGTTTGGAGTGTTTTGGTGTTGGGGTTTGGGAATTTTTTTGGAGGTGTTTGTTTTTATAGGCCACTGCAGAATGCTTGTGTCTCTCACTATGTAAATTATGAGAACAGTGATGTCCAATTGAACACCAGCAAGGAACTAAAAGAGCCAGGACATCTTGATTCACTCAGATTGTTTGCTCTCACTCAGATTGCTTGCTGGAGGATTCTAGTTAGTGTTTGCAGCTCAGCATTTGTTTTGCACCAAGTCCATAGCCTCAACAGTGATGGTACAGGAATGTACCACAACATCTCCTGCAAGGCCCTTTCCCAGTTTCTGAGATTTATTCCCTAGATGTATTTATTGCTATTTATTACCACTAGGAGGAATCTGAATGCTTTCAACTGAGCACACTTCCATTTCTTTTACAAACGAGATTTACTTGAAGTTGTAGTGTGTGGTGGTTACTCTTGACAAACTCTAAACACACTGTGAACATTTTGAAAATACAGTTAGTGCTTTTATGAACATTTTAAGTCCTATACACACTATAAACACTATAGACAAAATGTTGATGTTTATGAAAATCGTAGTTTGATTTAAAAACTAATTGTTTTTAATAGCATTTCATTGGTGTTGCCTAAAAGACCATGGAGAAAAAGACTCCAGGCCAATTTAAAAGAAAGTAGGTCCTTTAATGAGTCCGTAGGCCTAGAGGAATATGTACCATGTGCACACGCCCAGACAGTGGCTCTATGATTTTATAATAAGATCCATCCAATTCCAGATTTGTCCACCCCCGGTTCTGCCCCGTTCTGCCCCCTGACACGCCCCTTTGGGAATTGGTTCTGGGGGTGTTTGGGACCCCTACTTCCTCATTTTTGTCTTCTTTGCAGCACCTACTGTTACGGTTAAATCAAACCAAAATATTTAAATTGGAAAAGTAGTAAAAATTATAAGATTTATTGAAAGTGCAAATGAGCAAAACAGCGTGCTGGGTGACCGGGGAGACCTCTGCTCCGCTCACGGTCCGCAAGCGCAACAAGCAAACAGCAACATTTATACCCTTATTAATTTCCCCTCCCACAGTCACTTGTCATCTCTTTATTGGACTTAGGTTCGCAGGCTCCATTCTGTTTGGTCCTTCTTTCCCGGGCTCAGTTTAGTTGCTAGGGACTTCCCACCGATAGTTTGATTAGTCTGCTGTCCTTGAGGCCTGGTATGTGGGACTTTCCAGATGGCAGTCCTGTTTCCTCTTTATCGTCCTTGTGCTTGACCCTCTGCTCCTTATCCATCTCCTCCTTGCCTTATAAGTACACTTGGACAATACACTTTTAGAATAACGGGATATAATATACTCATTTAGCAAGGCATAACAATTTGTCATGTCAGCATTATGGTTAACTATTCTGCAACTTATGATTTTTCAGCCTAAGCAAAGCTTTAACTATATCAGTATAAAGTATATTAATTTAAGATATAATTTGATGAGCAAATTGTTTATTTCATCATTACTCACTGTAACAGTTCGTTTGGATACATGTCCGGAATAAAGAAAAGTGCCAGAAATATTCAAACACACAAAATATCTTTTATTACAGTGAGAATAAAAATAATAATAATAAACTTAGCAAGAGGAATCAAAAACTAAAAAAGGATACAAAATAACTACCTTATCAGGTGGCATTAAAACAAATACTACGAACAGCATTTAATACAGTATTAACTAGTGAAAAGGGATACCAAATAAGGATCTTAACACAGTATTATGGATAACATGATATTGGTTAGTAAAAAGGGAAACTAAAGGAAAAATACTATAAACATAAAAGGGGAATTAAAGGAGCACTAAAAGGATATTAAAAAGTTTGTTCTCTCAGCTGCTTCCTATCAAAAAACTGTGCTTACCTGCACAGACAGGCCAGGGCTGTCAGGATCTGCAGCAGCTGGTCGGTACCCGTGCTTAGCGGGCGTCCCCGCGGAGCAACACAGTCTCGGTGGTAGGATGAGTATCGCTCAGCTCAGCAGTCCCGACACCCCATTTTTATCAGTTCCACATTACACTACGTAGGGCCAGTACGTAGTATAAGGTGATGCCTGAGTGGCAGCCAAACACCGCCTGATCATTACCTAATGGCAACAGTCTGCGCATGCCCTACTTGTAGGGCAAGGGGCGAGCGACCCCTGCCCACATCATCTTCCTCCCATCATCATCTTTCTCACCCCTATGTATGACCTCTAACATTGTGTTTCAAGGGTAGATGTATCGATCTTGCAATATGTAGCAAAACCAAGGAAGAACTCAGCTCTGATAATAGGGGATATCAGGTTGACTTGCTAAAAGGCACAACGGACCTTACAATTAGCTTGTGCCATGAAGTTACATTGTACCATACTCTAGCTGGTTTCACATCCTAATATGATTCCGTTCTCACGCCTCTATGCTCCATTGATCATCTAATTCAAAAGTACCCCCTTTACACTCACTCATTACACCTACAGTCCTTGGAGTTCCTCCAAAGTTCTGGGCTTGAAGGTTGCTGTGTCTGTGTGATATCTTCTGGTCCAGGGTGTTTTTCTACAATTCTACCTTGAAAAGAAGACTAAACATGCTAACGGAATTTTAGAGGGATTGATATGAAATAGGGTAGTAGGGTTGGGTACGTGTAAACATTATGCTACAGGGTAAGGGATATAATACAGCTACATTAAAATCTACATTCACTACACATCTACTTCTAAAATCTATAAAAATTTAAAAATCAAAAAAAAGCTCTGAGGCATCATTGGGATCAAATTCTGAAATGCAGCATTTTCCTTTGAATAGAAAACTTTCCATCCACATTTACCACACTGAACCTAAATTCAAAGGAAAGTAATAGTGATGTCAGACAAAATATTTGTCTGTTTCTAGCCAAGAAAAAGGATCTCGTAGATGGGATGCATTATGCTTAACGCCTTTGTAATTGAAATAAAAGACTGCTTTGCTGTCAAGTTGCTGATTAAACCAAAATCAGGCATCCTGCTGGTGGTGGCTGCTGTCGCTAGCGCCAGCGTTTTTTCTGCAGGGCTTGGAGCAGCTCCAGGTGTACAGCGCGGCCGATCCGTGTGGAGAGGGGCCGATGGCGGGGCCCCGCGACCCTCCCCGTTCCCCGAGGAGAAGTGTGCTGTGGGCAGAGCCCCTCGAGGCACGGAAGGGCAGCGCCGTCCGGGCCCCGCCAAGGCCCCCGCGCCGGGCCCGGCGGAAGCTCCGGCCCCGGGACTGCGGCTCCCAGCGGCCCCCGCGAGCGTCTGCGCCGCCGCGGCTGCGCGAGCAACCCTCCCCCGCCCGGAGCGGTGCTGGGCTCGGCCCGACACCGCGGGAGGAGCGGGGCCGTGCGGCGCCCGCCGCCCCGACAGCACCGAGGGCTCGCGAGGAAGCCGCCGCCGCCCCGGTCTCCCCCGCAGCCCTGCGGCGTTTCCAGCCAGCGGGACCGGGCTGCCCGTGCCCGTGGCGGGTGAGTGGGAGGGCGGGCCCGGGCCCGCCGGGGCGGGGCGAGGGACGGATCATGACGGGCGGCCCTGGGGGCTGCGGGGTCGGGGGGCTGTGGGGCCGGGGGGCTGCGGGGCCGAGGGGGCTGCGGGGCCGAAGAGGCTCGTCGGTGGGGCCGCTGCTCGCGCCGCTCTCTCTCCGCATGGCAGGGGGGGCGCTGCCGCCGCCTGCCATTGGCTGTCGGGGCGGCGCGCGCATGCGGAAGCCCCGCGCGCGACGGCGGCGATTGGGCGTGGACGGGAAGGGGCGGGGCGGGTCATGTAAAGGAGCTGCCGTGGGCAGCGCGCGGGGCTGGGGAGCCCTGAGGCCCTCCCGGGCCCAGCCACGGCAGCGGAGTGAGGGGCTCTGGCCGCACCCCAGGCAGGCGCTGGCACCCAGGCCGGCAAGCCACTGGGGAGAAATGGAATCACCAAATGATTGGCCTTGAAAAGGACCTTGAAGACCATCCAGTTTCAGCTTCTTGCTATGGGCAGGGACATCTTCCGCTATCCCAGGTTGCTCCAAACCCCGTCCAACGTGGCCTTGGACACTTCTAGGGCTGAGGCAGCTACAGCTTTTCTGGGCAACCAGAGCAACCAATGCCTTATCACCCTCGCGAAGAAGAATTTTTTCCTAGATTGTAATATCCTGCTTTCTGCAAATGTGAAGCCATTCCCCCTTGTTCTGTCACTCCAGGACCTTGTTCAAAGTCCCTCTCTAGCTCTCTTGTAGGCTCCCTTCAGGTACTGGAAAGCCACAATTAGATCACCTTGGAACCTTCTCTTCTTCAGGATGAACAATCCCAATTCTCTCAACATTTCCTTGTAGGAGAAGTGTTTCATCTCTCTGATTGTCTTAGTGGCCCTGTGTGCAGAAGCATGGCTACCAGCAAAGAACAAATCTAGCTGGCAACAAAAAATTTCTGTAGAAGCTTGTCAGCCTGGTGTTTGAGAGAGGTTGGCATATAATTGTACACCTGTCTGGGTATGTAACCTTATCAGGCTCTCTTGGCATCACAGCAATGTTTTTGATCATAACAGTGTTTTTGATATCACCTGTTGTGTTGCCAGTTCTGTTTGCAGGCTTCTTTTACCAAAGGTTTGGTGTGTGAGTTGCTTGAGAGGAACATCTGCATGATGACTTTCATGTGTGCAGACACCCCCTATAAGCTAATAATGTACTTTTGTTGTTGTCAATGTGTACAAATTTTTGGATCAGTATCTCACAATAAGGAGCAACTTTTAGATTCCTTTTTAAAATATACTTTATATTTGTTTCTGCTTGTCTAACTTTAACTCTGCATTTAAAGAAATGAAAACCAGTAACAAACTAAAAAAAAAAAAAAAAAACAAAACAGGATGTGTAATTCCATTAGGTAGATGGCATTAAAAATTTGTCCCCATACAGCCTGGTATACGGTAGCCTCACAGACAGCTGAGGTACCACTACTGACAGCCTTTTGTCTTATCCATCAAGACATGAGAACCTTTTCATAGAAGTTTGGTTGAAACTTATGTTTCTCTGGAAAGATTGTGAATTTGTAATTTTCTGAGAAAAAGTTAGTGACACATTCCCAAACTCTAATTTATGGAGTTGACTTCTATTTCTGGTCCGAGATTCTGGGTGGAGAGAGATTCATAATAGAATTGACATATGCTTTAATTCAAGGAAGAACACATATAATTGATTCCATGGAAATTGGTGTTCTGGTTCATTCGGTTAAATGCAGTAACAGGAACGAGGGAGAGAGCTGCTGAGGTAATGAAGTGACCAAAGGAGGGGACTGATTACTGCTGAAGAATGACAGGGTAATTGGTTTCCCAGTGCCCTGTTGTGTGCAGTGGTGGGCAGCAGCAGACACAGGGCACTTCACTTTGTGTGCAAAGCTGTGTGCCTCGCATACGACCTACATACTGATCAAACGATTTTTGCTTTCAAGGTGTTGGAATTCAAATGGGTGCTTAGTGTTGGATTAGCTCTTTGTGAGAGCCCCAGAAGAATTGAATTTGTTTGCCCTTAAACAATCTGAGCCATTTGTTTGCTGTGACCTTTGCAGTATGACATAGAAATCCAAAGGACCAGCTCTCACTAGTAAAGACAGCAATTCTCACTGTGAAAAATGTGTCAGCACTGGCATAGGTTTGCGGAGATGTTGGAATTTTTTCCCAATGTCCTCCCCCCCATCTGTTTCTTCCAGGATGCGGGAAGCAAAGCCGCACGCGCTGGGCAGTGCGGGAGCGGGGGGAGGGTGAGCGCTCTCGGGAAGCACGGTGGCCACGGGGCTGGCTGGGAGTCTGTTGGTCCGAGGTTTTTGGAGACAGAGAGGGGAACCTGGTTTCGACCGCCTCCTTTTCTTTTCCTGAGAGGAAGTTTTTTTTCCCCACGGGACACCTCGAGAAAAACGACCGAGAGACCGACCCATCTCAGAGCGAGGTATTCTGCCTTCCGACTGCCTGTGGGAAAAAGGACTTTTTTTTCCCAGTGCTGGCTGTGAGCACACATGGCTGAGAGCAGCCGTTGAACTGCCGGGACAGTCCTACTTTCCTCCCCACCCCTCCTCAGGTTGCCGCGGGTTTCTCCCCCCCACCTGGGGAACTGGGACTTTGTTTTGTTTCTTCTGAAAGTTTTTGATTGCACCATTTGTTGTTTATTCAGATTTTGTTAATAAAAAGCTGTTTCTTTTCCTTTTCCACACTTCCACCTGAAGTTTCTTAATTTCTAAGTTGTTAACAATCTTGTTAAACTAAGACAAGCACCAATGCTGTTGTAATTAAATAAATATCAACAGAGTTTAGACTAATTCCCTTCTCAAATATTATATGTAAGTGTTGATGGATACTCTCATGTGAAAGGTGGGAGTTTGGTTTTTTGCTGATACCCTGGTGCCCAACAGTCTGTCAGCGTCTTGTGATGCCGAAAAACTTCGAAATAAAAGAACTGCTCAGAGACTTTGCATCTTTAAGCAGCAAGGTATTGGTTTATTGCAATGCTGGGAGTAAGGCAGTTCGCACTGCACAGACTCGCTCCACCCAAAAGTGCAAAACAAGCCATTTTATATGTTTTAGGTACACAGTTACACCTTCTGACATGCATATTAATAACTAGGCAGAGTCCAGGTGGAGTCTAGGCGGAGCTTTTGAGAATCTTCCTTGGTGCATGCTCAGTCTTTCACTGGGACATCGAGCCTTCATCCTTCTAGTGGTCGTCAGGGTTGTCTTCCTCGAGGTTGAACTTTTCAACTTTCTTTGTTAGGTGACCTAGATTCTTCAAGCTTGCAAAATCCTGGCTCTTGGCCTCCTATATATACTTTAAACATTTAGTTTACTTGATTTATTACCTTGTGGTCTATTGTGTACTATTTCCTAGCATTCTTTCTATAATGAAATCTTGGTCCAGTAAGCAGGACAGAACAAGATATTAACCAGTGTTTCTACAATGTTCTTCTAGCAAAACAGGCAGAACAAACATTAGGTGCTACCGTCTCCTGGCTCAGCAGGGCAAGGTGTTTTACCAGTGTGGTGGTTTGAAACTCCCAAGAATCTAATTTTTACGTTCAAGCCCCCCTCCCACAGTTTGCCCCTGTGAGAGGGTTTAGTGATGGTATGGACTTGATATCTTTTTCACTTCATGTGGAGAGTTTTCAGACAAAACACAACCATTCGTTATTGGGGGAAGGGGAAATATTTACAGAGGTTTATTTACACCCATATATATATTTACATTAAATTAAATTTCTCCTTTTCTTCAATAGAAGTCCAAGAAGAAAAGAGAAAAGTCTTTCTGTCACTTCTCAGGCCACAGTTCCTTCATTTCTGTTTTTTATGGCACTGGTTAGTGTCCTTCGTTTTCCTGAGGCAGCGGATTTAAGTATGGCAGTCAGGATTTTGGTTCTTACTTTGTGGAAATTCCAACCTCGAGCCCGAGCCTTTGTAGAATTTCCTTGTAGATCTTCACTCCTCTTGGGTTAGAACACTGAAGGCAGCTTTCAGTTCAGTCTTACCAAAGCTCTTTTGCTCTTTCTCAGCTCGCCAGCATGATAAAAGCAGCAGCAGCAGCAGCAGCAGAGGGCACGACCACCTCCTCCGCATTCCGTCCTGGCTCAGCTCTCAGGACGACTTCGGGTTTTCAGCTCCTTTCTCTCTCTCTCTAGCTGCTGCTGCATTTTGGGACTCCCTAAGGGTTTGGAATCCACCCCTCTTCAGGAATTCTCTGGGTTTTCTGGGAAAGTAATACAGTCTTACCCCAAACCAGCTCTGTTGAGTTTTCCTCTGTTTTGTTGCCAGCCTTCCCTCCTGCAGGAACATCTCTGCGTCTTCCGGCTTCACGTTATCTCGCTGCTACTGGCTATCTTTTTGGCTTTTAGCCATCGTTGTCTCTGTTCAGGACTGCTCCGCTGCCGCTTTCAGTGTCTTCTGCTGCTGCTGACAGTAAGGAAACTTTTCCAGCTCTTGATTATGGGACCCGGTCCAGCTTTGACACTATACTGGGTCTCCAGTGGCCTCAGCTGGGGGCTGGGGGCCCTTGACCCCCAGAGGGGCTCACTGGCCCCCTGCCTCCTCGTGGCTCAGATCATGGCTACCTACCTTCTAAAACTATCTTCACCACCTTCTCTTCCATTTCTGTGGGTATGTAATTTCCGTAGGGTGCATGTGGACTATTGATTGGTCCAGTATTATCAGTGGGGCAAACCATTACTACCTCAGAGAAAAGGTTTTTCAAACCACCACAACCAACTAAGCCGTCTTTAACTCCTTTTGTGGTTTTCTCTGCCATCACTTGTAATGAGACCCTTTACCAACAGATTCACAAGTGCTTTGACTGCCCTTGTTGGGGGGACTCAATAGAGTGAAGACCCCTCAGTGCGTCCTGCCAAGGTGTTTTCTGCTGCTGGCAACTGCAAGGACTCGCTTTAACAGTTCACAGAGTAACACTCTATTAATACAAATTGAGACAGTTTAATAAGATTCGAAGGTTGTTGGTGATAGT